GCTTGTCAGAGGAGGGGCTGGGGGAGATTTGAGGTTTATTTCCAGTGGAACATGACACACACAATCAGAATTCAGGTCTTGGGCTCCTTTACTAGATGGGGCTTGCAGCACTGCAGTGGCAACACACTCAACCGAAGGGAGGGATGAGAGCATCCAGTCTTCTGCGCCAGACAGAAGTTTGTCATTTTTAAGGGCTTCTGGAAAGGGGCAAAAAATAAATAAAACCTGGGGATCAAAGAAATGAGCTAGTTTTTGGCTGGGGAGGAAACCACTCCTATGAATTGTAGTTAATGGTGAGTGTTTAATTAGGTTCTAAGCATTTACAGCCGCAAGAACATAGTGTGTCCTTAGTGAGGTTTCCATAACAGGAGAAATGTATTATGTGGAGTAGGGGATTGGTTTTGTTGGTGGTGATTTTAAGAGTAACTGACTGCAGAGAACTTTTCAAAGAAAATTACTGCCATAAATTCATATATAAAGTCAATATAGCTATTTGAGTGACAATTATGAAGATTGGGAAAAGCATCAGTATGTTATTGCATTATGAGATCTGTGTGCATTTAATGGGGCTTTAAAATATTCTTTATGTAAATAATATTTGTCTTTAGGAAAGAATTGGCTGAAACTCAAAGAACAAATAAGCCATGTGGAAAGTGTTACTACTACCTTCTCATCAGCAAGACCTTTACAGAGACAGCAAAGCGCAGCTCTAAGAAGAGAGGAGAGAGCACACAGCAGAAAGAGGAATTAATGTTTGCAAATGCAGAGGAAGAATTCTTTTATGAGGTAACAGACTTCTGATATCATTAAATCCAATTGTTTGATTTTTCTTTAGAGCAGGGAAATGGAGATTCTGACTCTACTTTTTTTTCAATAACAGTGGCCTTTCTTACTGAGCCACTTTAGAAACCTGACTGACTTGCAGTGATTATGAAAAGGTGGTAAAATGACCTTTTTATTTAAATCCAGCTGCTTTTTGTGTAATTACTATTGAAAGATGCACAAACAAACCATCTTTGCTAATGTAGGATATTTATACTCACTAACTCTTGACCAAAGTAAACAGTGTTTTGCCTTGGGGGAACCACTGAGAGCTGTATTACTACAGATGCAGATTATAAAATGGCACTTGGCTTTTTTGTAGTAATTTATTGATATTATTTACAAGAAGTCTCAGTGACATGGTGATAAAAGCACTGGCATGTGCCTAGGCTCTGTTTACAGTAGCCCTCTCACCGTTGCTACCACCATTGGAGCTGCACCAATGGCAGTGCAATGGTGGGAAACTTCCCAAAAATGCCTGATGTAGACAAATTCTTCAAGGGAAAGATCAGCTGTTACCTTCAGTGTCTTGGTCACAAAGAATTAACTGGTTATCTTGAGGGTAATGCTGAAGGGATTTAACAAAGGATTCTGAACTAAGTGAACATCTGGTTGAGGATCTGTGAATGAAATTTCCAAGTTTTTGAAAAGAATGGACAGAAGAGAGCAGAAGCACAGAGTTTAACCGTCTGAATTGGCCCTTCAAGGTTTTTAATCCTAGGGGTGGAAAAACCCTTTTAGTTCAGAGGCAGTTGTACCCTCTCTATAGTCTTCTATTTGAATCTGCATAAAAAGTTATAACTATTTGGAAGAGCATGATTCAAATAATCAGAGCAATTGCATCTTTCAGGCTTCTAGGAAAAAAGAAGTCTGTGGTGTTATGAAGGACCAAATCAAATTGCTGCATGCATGATTCATGTAAAACATAAATATTTTCCCCTCTGAATACCCAAAAAGTAGATCACCTTCTCACAAACAGGCATCAAATTTATGCTCTGAGAATTCTTCCCGAGAAACTTGGCAGATTCAAAGCTCTGAATCTGTGCTGCTTTTGGTTTAAAAAGACTGTTCAGAACAAATCTTCTGAAGAGCCAAATGTATGGATGTCACTATCCCATTTGTTTTATATATTCTGTTTGGGAAAAATACATTAATAAAAAGCACTAAAATATTGAACTGGAGCTATTACTTATAATTTCCTGAGGGAACCCTGCCACTCAGTTCTGCTGGTCCCAAGCCATATACAAAGGGGAGGATGCAGAAAATTAAATTTAAAATATAATTGGAAATGCATGGAATTTTTCAGTGTTCTTTACTTTTTTCAGAGCTTTAAAAACATTATTCCACAGCACTGCTGCTATGTCAAGAGCTCCCTGTTCTTCCTCTTTGATGGCAGTGCACACAGGGTAAAATGTTGGCATGTGACACCTCTTTCCCTAGCGCAGGCTAATAAATGGCTATCATGCTAATACTGGTCATTTAAGAAGAGGAAAACTTTAAATTCAAAGTCTAGGCACATTCATTATGAGACTGCAAGAAATACTGCTGTGGGGTGTAAAAGTAACAAGCAGCTAAGAGTTTTTTCTTTTTGTAGCAGGGTCTCCAGCACCTGAATTTGAACTTTATGCACACCAAGTGACCAAAAACCAGCATGTAGTGAAGGGACTTTCAATTCCACGGCTGCATTTTCTCCCTGAAACTTCAAATATTTGATGTGGGAGGGGTAGTAAAAGGACACTACTCTGCAATATATATTACAGACAAATTGAGTCAATAAATATAAATAGAAACATGAAAAACTATTTACAGTATTTGGGAAAAGTGTCCTCTATAAATAACTTGCACTTCCAAGGATTTCTCAGGGCTCTATGAGATTCTATGTAAGGTGTATGTAAGGTTTTTATTTAATGCCTCTCACCTTGGTATCTAGGAATTTAACATAAAGATTCCTAATGCCACTGTGAGGAAGGGAACTACTACATCGTTTTTTACACCTGGGTTAATTGGGTCACAAAGATGTTAACCTTTGAACCTGTAAGGCTGCGATTGAAGTGATTCTTTAGCAGTGATTGGAGAAGAGTATGCTCTGCTCCCTCCATGCACTGCCCCTTCCCCCACCCCAAACTGTATCAAACTGACATCCTTGCACTGTTGGCTTTGTGTCCCCATACAGAGCCTCTTTGGGATGCATGACAGCTCCTCTTGCCCTGCTTCAGCTCTTGCTATGAGTCAACTTCTTCCCCCATGTCCCAGGTCTGCTGCTTCCTGGCTTTAGAGAGTTAGGGGTTCACTAACAAGCAGTGGGTAGTATTCTTGACAAGAGATTCAACATGACCTTCCCGTCGCTGGCCAGAAATCCCCACTCTCTGCCACAGTACCTCTTAAGAGCCTGGCTATAATACCTGATTGTAACACCTGAGGAATTATCTGCAATTTTAAAAACTAAGTAACTTGTCCAAGGCCATCTACAGCTAGTGACTGGAAGACCAAGAAGTCGTCGTTCTTATGTTTCATTTGTCCCCTACATTAACAATAATGCACATTACACAATGAATTCTGTTTGTTTTGAGTTTGATATGAAATGATAAGTGGTAGCTTGTGAAACAGGACACCGAATATTCTATTTTAGTTTTCATTGGATTTTTCGTAGGGATTTTTTCTGTTTAGCTTGCACTCCCACAAAACAGAACTTTCTTTTTTTACTTCACTTAAAATGATATTCATAATATCTTAAAACTAATTTTTGTAACATCATTCATAGAATCATAGAAATGTTGGGCTGGAGGGACCTTGAGAGGTCAGCAAATTCTTTCCCCTATGCTGAGGCAGGACCAAGTAAACCTAGACCATCACTGACTAGTGTTTGTCCAACCCGTTCTTAAAAATCTCCAGTGATGGGGATTCCACAACCTCTCTGGTATCATATTCCAGAGCATAACTACCCTTATAGTTAGAAAGTTTTTCCTAATATCTAAACTAAATCTCCCTTGTTGCAGATTAAGCCCATTACTTCTTGTCCTGCCTCCAGTGGACATGGAAAACAATTGATCAGTGTCCTTTTTGTAACAGCCTTTAACATATTTGAAGATTTATCTGGTCTTCCCTCAGTTTTGTTTTCTCAACTTTAAATATGCCCAGTTTTTTTAACCTTTACCCCTAGATCAAGTTTTCTAAACCTTCTATCATTTCTGTTGCTCTCCTCTGGACTGTCTCTAGTTTATCCACATAGTCCCTAAAGTGTGGTGTCCAGAATTAGACAGTGCTCCAACTGAGGCCTCACCAGAGCTGAGAAGAGTGGGGCAGCCCCCTCCCTTGTCCTACATACGATATTCCTGTTAATACACCCCAAAATATTAGCCTTTTTTGCAACTGCATCACACTTGATTTATATTCAATTTGTGACATACTGTAAGCTTCCGATTCTTTTCAGCAGTACTATTACTTAGCCAGTTATTCCCTATTTTGTATTTGTGCATTTGATTTTTCCTTCCTAATTGAAATACTTTGTGCTTACCTTAATTGAATTTCATCTTGTTGACTTCAGACCAATTCTATAATTTGTTAAGCTTGGTTTCAATTCTGAGCCTGTCCTCCAAAATGCTTGCAACCCTTCCCAGCTTTGCATCATCTGCAAATTTTGTAAGCATACTCTTCCCTCCATTATCTAAGTCATTAACGAAAATATTGAATAGTACCAAACCCAGGAGTGACCCCTGTGGGACCCCACTAGAGAATACCTCCCAGTTTGACAGTGAACCATTGATAACTACTCTTTGAGTATGGTCTTTCAACCAGTTGTGCACTCACCATATAGTAGTTTAATCTAAACCACATTTTCCCAGTTTATTTCTGAGAATGTCATGTGGGACTATGTCAGAAACCTTACTAAAATCAACATTTATTTATTTCTGTTTTAGAAAGCCCTTCTGAAGTTCAGCTATTCTGTGCAAGAGGAGAGTGACACATGTTTGGGAGGCAGATGGTCCTTTGATGATGTACCAATGAAACCTTTGCGAACTATTATGTTGATTCCATCTGATAGAATGAATGCAATCATGGATAAACTGAAAGAATATCTCTCCGTCTAGACAGTTTCCTTGGATAATGTTTTTATAAAGCAACCATGCAAAACGATATGCCTTTTGAATAGCTTCCCAAAAGTTTTATAATGTGATCAGTTTTGTGTTCCTCAGGAATCACCTTTGTATACTAGTGAAAGGTGTAGGTTGTACAACTAACAATGTCAATCATACTGTTACTATAAAATATTATATCCTAGTAGACTTTGGAGTCACCATTAAGAACACAATAAAAAAAACCCCTACATCCCTAAGACTTCTAAAGAAGTTAATTTTTCTTCTCTTTCCTGTTAAATACCTGTGTATTTCAAGTTGAAAAAACATTGAATGGATTAATTTGGGGACATATTGCACATACTGGTTCTGTTTGGTTGAAAGTAGTTGGATATAAGTCATTGAATAATTCATCTTTGTTCAGCAGGAGTTTGGGGATATTTTTCATATTCTTTGTCTTGCTGTTTTATTTAGCGTTCCTCTTTCATTGTTGAAACAGGTGATAAATGATTACTTCCTGCAGAATCTCCTTGCTTTCACTAGAAGGCAGATTGCTAACATATTATTGAAGTGCCAGTTCCACAAATCTGGTGAGAAATGGAATAAAATATATTTTTTAAAAGATGAAACTTTAAATGCTTTGTATATACATCTCATGGTTTGTGCAAAAAAGTGCTTGGAGCCAGTGATAGGTGCAACTGCATATTTAATGCATCAACAATTGGTATTGGGTTTATTTCAAAACGAAAAACTGCCACCAAAATGAAGCTGTATGTTTGTGCTCGAAGCAGACTTGCAAATTAACATGCTCAGCCTGCACTTGGAGTGATTGGGTTCAGTTCCCAGTGCTGCAAATCACATTAAATATTAATTATGGAGGTTTTTCTGTATTTGAGTGCACAGCATGCTCAACAAAATACAGAGAGAGGGTGCATTCTGTAGACCCCTGAGAAGGAGAAATCAGAGGGAAACTTTCTTGGCAGTTGTATGGGATGACTCAGTTGCATAGGCATATGAAAAAAGCATTTGCTGGAAGTGTCATTTTGGGGGAAAAAACTGGTTAACTTTCTTCAATTAAATTATTTTAATAGAGCAATCTTGCTGCTTTAGCATTAAGACCAAAGAAGAACTAAAATACATTTTCCGTTTTTAGAAATGCGTGTTTAATCATTTTAGGGACATTCTTTTTTAAATGGATTGAGTACAATCACAATGACAGACTTTGAGATGTAATGAATGTACGGGAAGGTGCAGTTGGCTTACAGAAGGTACACTCTGATATAGGGAATGCACAGTCTGATTTCCTGTATTATTTTTTTTAGTGAAAAACTTAATAAAAGGTTGGTATACATACAATATACCATACAGTGTTATGCAAAGACACAGCATAGACCAGTAAATATAAACAAAATAGAACTGGGCCCAGCAAAAGCTGCAAATTCCGAGCACTTTCACGTATGTTCCTATACAGATTATGAAATCTGTGTGAAAATAACTCCTCACCATGCCAGTCTTGTCCCACTACATGCACTTATACACACAGTTTGTCCTCTCCTTTCATGACCATCTTCACACTTTCACACCACCAAGAAGGGGCATTGGTTATGCTTGGACCCCTCTCTCAAACAAAACCATAAGGAGAGCTGGCAGAAATATTTCTGATTAAAGTTTCTTTTGTTGAAAAATGCTATTTTATCAGAACCAAAATGTTTTGGAAACTTATGTTTTGACAACTTTTTAGTCAGGAAGTTTTCTAAGGACCAGGATGGATTCTTGGGTCAGAACGAGAGAACGGGAGTTGACTGTCTCTTGTAATATGGTGGTAGGTTGCTGGGATATGGGAGATCCAGGTTCCAGTCTCTGCTCCAACTAATGCAGATCAGGAACTTTGAACCTTCATCTCCAGACCAGTGACTTAACCACCAGGCTATAAAGTCTGGTTCTTACTCCCCTGTGCATCAGAACAAAAACAAACTGAACCTCATAAGGTGAGATCCTTTCTCTTCCTCCTGAAAATCCATTTCTATCATAGTTTGATGCAAGGATTTACCCAAGTAATATGGCTAGGTCAAGTGCCATTTTAAGTTAACTTTTTTCCCCTTCTATAAATATCAGCTGATTATTTGGTCTTTCATCCAATCCTTTGTTTATTGTTTGCCTTTTTAGATCATGAACTCTGTGTGGTAGGGGTTGGTTTACCAGTACTGTATAGCTGGACAGGACCTAATGCATACTAGGAAAGCTACTGTCATAGAAATAATTGTAGACCATTGTCCAGATCCTAACTTTCTTGCACTATTGTCAATGTATTCTGCCTCAACTGTTCATGTGCATTGTATGTAGTTAATGCACAGCTTAAGGGGGTGCTTTTAATTCAGTTTATCAGCTTCATTCATTATAGCTGGCCTGCCTCAATGCAGGGGACTGGATTAGATGAGCTACCAAGGTCCTTTCCAGTCCTATGATTCTATGAGCTTCTGTCAGATGTTGCTTTCATTTTCTGATTTGGCATATCTGGATTCGGAGAGCAAGGTGGGGAAGGCTCCTGAGCTGATAAGCCCAGTGTGGCAGGCGTAAAGGTAGAGTACCATCTACTTGGTAGAACACTTTCATAACTGAACACTTCCCCTCCACATGCATGTGTTCTGCCATCCTTCAAGGATCTAGCTCAAGAAAGAGGTCAGAGTCCTGGCAGTTGATTTGGTGCTTAGGAAGTGGTATGGCTGCTGATGGGCATAGTTTGGAAATGGGGCTGGCTGCCATGGATTAGGGAGGGTTAAGAGGTAGTCTTCATAAGCAGAATGAGTGAGGGAGTCATTTCTTGCTGGAAAGCAATGCCGTGCTGACAGGAAGACCAGAGAAGAATGAATGTTTTCAAGGGGGATATAAGTATATAGCCCTACCAAATTCACGGCCATGAAAAACACATCACGGACCGTGAAATCTGGTCTCCCCCCATGAAATCTGTTTTTTTGTAAGCTTTTCTAGGGTTACCATATTTTGAGTGTCTGAAAAGAGGACACTCCACAGGGCCCCGGCCCTGCCCCCAGCCCCGCCCCTGCCCCAACTCCACCCCTTCCCCAAAGTCCCCACCCCAACTCC